CGAAACGTCTCAAAGCGCTTCACAAAGTAATCTGTAAAGCGAAATGACTGCATTTTCTGGGCGAAATGCGGCGGCCGACTGCGCACAGCGGTTTCCCACAAAGTGTCGTGAACTGAGTGACCCAAAATGCTTTTTTTAAAAAAATTAATCAATCTATTTATTTACTTGGAAGGGATTATTACCCCTGGAAAAGCAGCCTGCCAACTGACAAACAACCAGGTTCCCACTTACTGCAGGTCACAAGAGGGGTCTGGAATAAGGAATCTTGTCTAATGTTTTGTCTCGCACGAGAATCGAACACAGGTCCTCTCGCTTTCCTGGCGAGTGCTGTAACCAACACGCTACAGGACTCACAGGAATAAGGAATACGGGGAGTGTGTGTGAAAGTGGCGGAACCGTAAGTGGGAGCAAGCACTGGCGTATATAAGAGTAAAGTAACTGAGTCTCCACAAACACACAGTCGCTACGCCACAACATATCCTGGTGAAGCACTTTGAGACCTCCTGCTGACGTGGAAGGCTGCACACCAAATGTAAGGATTATAAGTTTTCTTAACTGAAGACTTCATTCAAGAGCAACTCGCTTCGTTTTCTTTTTACAATTATTGTGTTCTTTCTTGCTCTGAATTAAAACGGATTTTATTTGTAAAATGCTCGTTAATTCGCAAGTTTAATTTGCAGTTCAAAGGCTTCTGGCGGACAAAAAAAAAATCGAATCACGAACAGGAACAATTATAATAAACAAAGTTTAGTTTTGTGAACAGAAGAAACACATTGAGCCCAGAACTGACTGTCTCATTTGGGTGAATATTGGCAAATCTAGGCAGTCTTTGGTTAGAGAAACGGAAGGTTTTTGGGAAAGCATAAAAGAGAAAGTACGTTTTGAATTGGAATACCTTCATATACTTTTGTGTGTTAGCGATGCTTTTTTTTTGTGAAATACATCGTGCATTTTTTTGGTGTGAAATCATTATAATATTAACCCCTACATTTGATTTAGCGCCTTATTATGTCGTTGAGACACCTCAAAGCGCTTCACAGGATATACTGTAAAGTGGTGTATTTTGTGGGCAAACGTGGCAGACAGGTCATATGTTTTTGTACGAAATGCATCGTTTGTCCAGAAAACACAGATACTGCACTTTACAGTACATCCCGTGAAGAGATTTGGGACGCCCTCCAGACGTGAAAGGTGCTATTGCAAGTGTAAAGATCATTAGATTTCTTTGTGAAACGCATAACGTGTGCATGGAATGTTTGCTGAAAGAGTGGCACAGAAATGACTATATTTATTTGTCAAAATTAAATAAAAAATAAACAGCAAAGCTAAACGTGAGTTAAATCCATCGCAGAGGCATTAACGAAAAAAAAGAATCCCTTCTTCGGGCAGTATTATGTTCCATAAAGCAAGACAGAAGCGTTCCAAAGAAACTGAGCTACAAAAATATTACTAATCCTTGCATTTAATATAGCACCTTATCGTGTCATCAAAGTGTCTCAAAGTGCTTCAGAGAATTTGCTGCAAAGTCCAGTGACAGTGTATTTTACGGGCAAAGAAGGGAACGGAAGAATGGAAAACGGGGAGAGCTCTGGTAAACGATGTACAACAAAATAAATCTCTTTCACCATGACACACACGCACACACGCACACACACACGCACACACCCACACACACACACACACACACAAAACTTGGCGATTGGGGGTGAACGAAAACTTTTTTTTGAAAACAAAGGACCCAATGCTAAACCTTTGAACTTCAACTCTGAGTGCCAGTCAGTCGCTTCCATTCTTTACGGTCTCACATGAGAAAATGTTTTGACACGCAGCACCTCGGTTGCTTTACCGACGCTGTCTTTAGCTGCCATTTCCCACTTTGAGGCCACTTACTGCAGCAGCAGAAACACTCGGCTAACTCATCACGTCTCGTTTCAAAGCAGGTGCTTTCAAGACAACAAACAACGGAGAAGGTATATTTTTGCCCAAAAGGAAGTCACTACCTGGCAGCAAACGCTCCCGAGAGGGTGCACTTTAACCGGCCTCAATCTGGTCATGCATTCCTGCTGTGCGAAATCAGCGGAGGAAACAAATGGGTTCCAGCGACCATCTTGTCTGAATTCCCACCCCGTTTGGTTTCAGATTAATTTGATGGGAGTCAGCGCGCCTTTGCACTTCACTCTCTCATCTGGTAGCAATTGCACAAAAGGAACGAATGCTGGTGTGCGTCACCATGTTTCTGTCACTGGTTGGAAGGCAGTGTCTGGATCACCCGTGGGAAACACATTCCCTCGCTCCCCCCTACTCCCCCACTAATATTAAACAGTCCTCATTACAACTGAGCATTGCTCCTGGAGGAGAAATGGTCCAAAAAGGTTCTTGGCGATCGCCATTCGAGTGTGGCATTTTTATTGTTGTTATTAATAATAATCATAATACTTGTATTTGTATCGTGTCTTATCACGTCAAAATGCCCAGGATTTACTGTACAGTGTGAGCAAAGAATGGAATGACATGCCGCCCAATTACAGCAGATATATATTCTCCCCTCACTCCCCCAACGTTGCATACTCTGCCTTGCAAGTTGTTGCTGTTGTGAAGAAACTCCATTCACTTTAACGTCCATCTTGACAGGCACAGGGACCCCGGTTTAATATCTCATCCCATGGATGCTCTCCCCCCAGTATTGGACTTGAGTGTCAGCCTAGACTATGATTTCAAAGTCCTGACATGAGGCTTGAACCCACAAGCTTCGGACTCGGAAGGGAGAGTCTTACCAACTGAGTCAGGCTGACACAGAAGCTTAGGGTGAGTCAGACACCACAGTTCTGAAAATCCTCATGGTCTTATTAGTCTTTCGTTTGCCGTCTTAAAATTTAAGATCTTAAACTCACAAATTCAGGCTTAATTTGGAAAACGGACAGCAGGAAACCAGCTTTCCAAATTAAAACTGAATTGAAGAATTTTCTGAATCTCTGGAACTATCTTAAAACATTCCGACGATGGTTTTAATGTTAAAACCATGAGAAATTCTGGGGCAGATTGGGGAATGTTGTAGGCCTCAACAGACGATGGATGGATCTGCTTTATGTGGCCAGGAAGTTACTTTCGTCAATGAAATACAAAGCTACTTCAGCAACGTGAAACCTCTTCAAAATACTGCTTAGCCGAAGCAGTTGGAATGGAAAGGGTTTTAGAGGGGACACAGCTGCCTCTATCGTGAGCATGCCAGCGTGGTTTTGTTCCGATTGCATTTGCTGAACACGCACAGCTGGTTAACAAGTACACCGGAAGATACTGTCAGGAAAACAAAATTGCTCAGGATCTTCGTGGTCAGCTGTGTGTCCCCCAGAGACTGATAAATCCAGCGGCAGAACTTATTTGTTGCACAGCAGTAACTCGCCCAAGAAAAACATTGCAACATCTGCACAAATGTTGACGTTCTCCCATCAGATGTTCAGGAAAGGAGACAGGACAAAGGGTTTAAGTATATAACAGGTCATAGGCACCATCGATGGGACTAACAGGACAGGCGGGTCTGGATCTGAAATTGGGATGGAGAATGTACTGGGAACCGGAATCTACTTTGTTGCTCAATGGAAGTTTGGTCTCAAACATTAGCCTAATTCCCGAAAAAGAAGCAGGGCTAAGTCTAGGAGTTAATGAAGTGTTTTATCTGACTCACTGACACGTGTCACACATGCCAAAAAATTAAACACCCATTGATCCTGCTGAAGATTGACAAGAAAGTTGTTCTGTACAGAATCTGTACGAAACCTCCTGTTCGTCTCAAACGACGTTACCCATATTGGTCACAATTAAAGGGACTTTCTGGTATAACTTTTTCCGAGACTTCCTAATGGCCTCCAACTAAAGGTGCGACATAATAATCCTTGCATTTGGTAATAGTGCCTTATCACGCACGGCGTTATGCCAAAGGACGTCTCAAAGTGTTTCACAAAATGCCTGTGAAATAAAGTCACTGTGTATTTGTAGGCAATCGGAGCAGCACAGATCTCGGTTTAACATCTCATCCGAAGGACAGCACTGTATCGGATTGTCAGCTTAGCCTACGTGATTCCACATCCCAACCTGGGACTTCACCCACAACCTTCTGACTCAGAGCGAGGGTGCTGCCAGGCTGACACAGACACAAAAAAACGATCTTCACAATTTCTTCACCAAGATCAACGCCACCAACGCCAGCGCTGGTGCCAATCCATCACTTCACCACACGTCACCGCTCCTTAGTTCATGGAAGTGACGTGAATGAGAAGAATGTGCCCTGGACATGTTCCATTGCGGAACGGTCTCTTATTATGCGTTCCCGAGGGAGAAGGGAATAGAGGGTTGTGGGCCTCTGTGAAGCACAAACACTGGCGTGGACTAGTCTTGCTGAATGGCCCGTTCTTATGCTGTAACGTACCGAGGAACAACAACAACTTGCACGCATGTATATATCATATATATATATATATATATACACGTGCATATATATAGCGCCCTCCACGCAGAGTAGCGTCTCAGAGCACTTAAAGGAGGCGCTCTGACTCCAAGCCGGTCGAAAAGGAAGCGTTGTTGGCATTGGCCTTGGTGAAGAAATTGTGAAGATCGTTTTTTTGCGTTTTTTTCAGGCGGGACTGGAAAAAGGGGAGGGGGGCAAGGCGGAGGGATCCAGGGAGAGCATTCCAGAGATTCGGGGCATAATGGCTGAAAGTGCGACCTCCGATGGTGGAGCAGAGGGTGCAAGGGACGAGCAGGACATGGATCACACAAGATGCGCGGATTCGACAATCTACAATATGGCACTTGATGAATCTGTTATTAAAGCCTGCGGTGTTCAATCCCGAACAAGGCACACGCGATGTATTACCAACCAGACGCACCTCTACTTCACAGAAGCCACCATCCGCTTTGAGTAAAATGTAACCACGACTCAACCCCAGAGAAGCCCGGAAAGGCTTTCGGATTGTAAATCTGGTCGATAAACGTAGAAATCTCACCTTCCTCTCTCAACAGCCAAGGCATCTATTTCATCGAAGAAGAGAATCGAAGGAGCCACAGCCCTGGCCTTCCTGAAAATCTACGCAAACAAAGGAAAAATTAATGACCCGATGCCTCCCAAGACATTCAGATATCCACGCAACGTACGACAGTAAACCTCGCGTAAGTCTTATCTTTATAAAGCGTATAAGTCGTACATGCAACCGAGTCCCACAAAGTTTCTTATCAAAACCACTTTGATTTCTTTGCACTTGTCGCATTTTATAAGCAAATCATCTCCTAAATCGGGCACTGACCGGCCGGCTGCCTTGAATCAAGGGAAGTGACGTCTTGATCTGCCACTGCATGGACAGAAGAACTTAATTTCCCGCGATTCAATGCGATTGCAAAGTTGCGCAGAGACAGGTCAAGACGCAGGGAAAACGTAGTTTGGACCCGTCACCTCATGCGCCACTTACCAGCTTCAGCGACAAAGTACCGAAATGTAGATTATTGATTAACAAGTTTGCTTGTAACTCGGACTTCGCACAAGTCCTATTAAATGTTACGTTCCCGACTGATACGACTTGTGTGAGTTTTACTGTCATTAAAAGTAACTCGTTTAATACATTTCTCAAACGCCGTGAGTCACTGTGTGGCGTGAGCCCAGTAGGTGTTTTTTTTAAGTCTTTAGATTGTTCGATTACCCACGAATTCAATATTGACTGGTTCAGCATTGACTGGTGCTTGACCTTACGTTGGATATCGAGAGGATGTCTCAAAGCGCTTCCTTCAAAGGATTTACCGTAAAGTGCAGCGACTGTGTATGTTGTAGGTGGGACGCCTACAAAACATTACTGAAACGCTATTTAGAATCTGCCCACCTTACCTCTCGCACGGCTCGCTCAGATTCACCCACGTACTTGCTCATCAGTTCCGGTCCCTAAAGAGAAAGAAAGAGACCGAGATGTTGTTGATGTTCCATATTATGATGACAGGGTATACGAGAGCGGTAAATACAACACTCCCAAACACTAAACTCTTCCCATCACATCACAGTCGCACGCACAGGGAGTGTCCTCACACCAACAGTTTTTTTAAGTTTGAGTGTGTCCAGTGTTCTCCCTGCCGGCAAGATGGCTCTCTGCTCCTGGTTCCTGGGGTCTTCACGCTGGGGTGCGGGGTTCCAGTAGCCCTGCAGACCACCCGCTTTCAAGGCCAGTATTCACGTGTGAACCTTGGCAGTGAGTTTTGGCAGAACAACTCATCTGCAGAAGGCCATCACGCCTGAGCCTGACCTCGTCCGGCACGTGTCCTATTACGAGAGGGTGCCTATAGGGGGACCGGGAGCACGAATTCTGGCTGGTTTGGCCTCCCACACACACCCTGGGAAAACTGGGGCCAATTTAATTTAGCCTCCTCGTGCAACCTCAGCTGAAACCAGCAAACGTCACCGATAACAGAAACGACTGGCTCAAGCTTGAAGGCACATTTGGATCAGGAACAATCCAAAGACAAAGAAATAAATGACAACAACTCGCATTTACATAGAGCCCCTCACGCAGGGCAGCGGCCCAGGGCACTTAAAGCGAGTCTTTAAGGAATGAAGGCGATACTGACAATCCTGATTTGTAAATATTGAATCCTGCCGGTAACAGAACCTCCATCCTGCGGGGATTCCCCTCCTAGGGAGCCCCCACGTGTCACCGCGACACGTATCTGGTTACCGACAGGATTCAGGATCCACGAATCGGGGTTGTGACCCACTAAGTAAGCTGCTGACTTTCAATTTAGCACACCAACTGCTGGTAATCCCACTGGAAGTATCCGTTTGATCATCAGGGCGCAAAGCACGTTAGAGAGTCCTTCTTTTAATAACCGTAACACAGTGAAGGATGTGCACTGACTCCTCTAAACCACCATTAAATCAGATTACAACATGGTTAGCCTCCTACTGTCCCCGTTTCCTATTTAAGTGGAGTCCTGTAGCTCAGTGGTGAGAGCACTCGCCTCACAAGCGAGAGGACCTGGGTTCGATTCCCGGGCAGGGAAACCTTAGACAAGTTTCCTTACTCCACACGCCTCTGTTTTCCCAGCAGCCAGCAGGAACCTGGTTGTTAGTCGATTGGTGGATCAATTTTCCAGGGGTAATAATCCCTTCAAAAAACAATACATAAAACTAAATAAATTATAATTTGGTCACTCAAATTGGTCACGACTGTTTGTGGGACACTGCTGTGCCACAAAATATACAGTCAATTCACTTTATATTATATTCTGCGAAACGCTTTGAGAAGTCTAGAAGACGTGATAAGGCGATATATCAAAATGCAAGGATTATTATTATTATTTTTAAGGTTAGCCAATGTTTACCTCAGTGTTTGGACATTGAAGTGGGTCTTGCGCATTCGGAAAGGGATTGGTATTTCTTTTGTGAAACAAAAACAAGGCCTGTGAAGCACTACAATAACTTTTTCCAAGTTTCAACTAACCTTTAATCTCTAAATGTCTGTGTCTTAATAATGTGACCTGGGGCGATAACTGGAAAAGATATGAAGGCACAAGAGTGGGATGGAATTTGCAGGATTTCTGAGTCGGGTAACTTGGGACCTTGTTTCGTAAGCAGATCTGCAGGAAAGCCACTTTCAACCCAGTCTGATTCTGAAGCGGAGTTCCTAGGGATCGACGGGAATTCTAAAAGCAATTCTTGTTGTTGTTGTTGTTCTTCTTCTTTAATTAAAGATTCCATTGAGAAGTGCCACAAATTTAACCCCAGTGTGTTCAACGACGCTAGGGCCGTAAGCACACAACCTATAAAGCCATCATTCAAGCTGTGTGTGTGTGTGGGGGGGGGGGGGGGGGGGAGGGTGGGGGGGGGCGGGGAAGGAGGAGGAGGGAATTAAGGCTCATAAGGATCAGCTATCAGCAGTGGAAAATTGCTTGGATACGGGCCTCATTTTCATGTTTGATCAGCACAGAGGATTTCCTGGACACCCAAGTCATTCTATTTAGTTACAGTCCTAAAGCACTGGGGCTGGCGCTACAATCTGGTAAGAGAGCGCGAGTCACTCAGGAATACGTTTCATGATACAAACTTTGCCTTCGGCTTTAGAAGAGTGAAACGTAAATTTTCGGACAACGTTTCTGTCATTGCAAACGGTTAAACACACAAAAAAAAGTTAACCAGAGCTTGACATTGTTCTGAACGACTCACTGGTAAAAGGGAAGATAAGTTGCTGGTGGTTAATCTAACCTGGAGTTGAATCTCCTTACCAGCTAAAGGTTATTATAACGATGGTCCAACGCACGGCTACTGGGTTGTACACATCTAGTTTGATAATACTAGGTATCCTCGTTACCGTCTACAATAATAATCCTTGCGTTTCAAATAGCACCGTTCACAGTAGAAGAATGTCTGATGTATAGTACACACTGTGATGTAATAGTGACTGTGTATTTCGTAGGTGAAAAAAAGTCAATTTGGCACAGAAATGTCCCGTAGACAAACTTGAAGGATATATTTTGTTCGGGAGATTTGCGGCCAGATCACCAGGAGAAATGCACTACTTATTCAAGTAGTGCCATGGAATCTTTAACATTCACCTGGACAGGTAGACCTTCAGTTTCCTGTAGACATTTTACGTAGAATTACATATAAGTGCAAAGTCTGTAGAGTGCCGAATCTGACCATTTGGCCCAATCAGTCTGGATCAGTGTTTGCACGACCTCTTTGATGGCGAGTTCCACATTCGCACGGCTCTCTGAGTAAAGATTTGTGAGGATTTCAAGAAACTCCTGCTCGCTTTCGAATCTCTTCATCCCCGGGCACCTCCCTCCCTCTCCGACCTGCTTACCCCCCAACCCACAACCCGCTGCCTCCGCTTGACTGCCTTTTGCCTGTTCCTCGTGCCCTCCGTTCCACCATTGCTGGCTGCGCTTTCAGCCGCTACGCCCCGAAACTCTGGAACACTCCTCCTCTATCCCCCCGCCTCACCCCTTTCCTCCCCATCTTCAGGTCATGCCTGAAGATCTTCCTATTCCTATTCGACCGTGCCTATGGTCACCTCCCCCTCTCCCCCCGGCTCGGAGTCATGCTCCGCCACTGTCAAGCGCTCTGGGACGCTGCCCTGTGTGAGGGGGGCGCTGTATAAATGCAAGTTGTTGTTGTAATGATTATCTTATAATTACACCCCTTGTAATGGACCCACCAATAAGTGAAAAGCCCATTTATGTCTATCTTATTGAATGCGTTCGGTTTAATGTGAGATCCAAAGGACAGCACCTCTAACAACACAGGAAAGTCTGAGAGCCTGAGATGACAATTATCTTTAAGCATACTGGGATTCATCTGTAGAATCCATTTCCCTCTTCCAGTTTACCCCACACATCTCCAAATTCATCTGGGTTTCAGACAAAGGAGGAAGCAGAGAGGTGGGTTTAGATCAAATCTGCAAATTAGAAGATTGTGTTCTTCAGTGCAGAAAACAGATGTGAGATTCATCTGAAATTACATACACCGCCAGCACCTTCTGAACTGACACGTCAAGGGAGTTGACTCACATCTGTCAACAAGCATCTGCAATACCTTCCTCTGTGCAAGGTTTCCTCCCGTGTGAGACGAGAGATCGACCATCTCTCTGGGTGGGGATGCTAGCACAAGTGTCCTGGCCTCGTTTTTGTATATTTGCATAGAGTCCCCTCTGAGATGTCTCCATTCAAGACTAAACCAGCACAGACAAGGTGGAGGAAAGGGCAAGGAAGTGGGATTGGAATGAATAACTCCAGTGGGGAAGCTCGTACCAGCACAGAATCATACTGAAAGAATAGGAGAGTGGGATTCGAGTCAATAGCTCCAGTGGCAAATTCTGGCCCCAGCAAATGCAAATGCTTGATGGGCCAAGTGGCGTCCTTCAATGTCTGAGCTCATTTGTTGTTAATGATCCTATTTCATTTTTTTGTAGTTCCCGGGGGGAAGGGAGGGGAATGGAAGGGAGGGAAGGGGGAGAAGTGAAGAGAAATTGAGTTGGGAGCCACTCTGTGTTCAACTGGAGCTCCCAATTTAACCCACTCCCTTGATTTTGAAACCTATTTCTAGTCCAGTACTTGGACATCCTATGTAGTGTGGATTTTTCTCTGTTACACTGATGGAAAATATCAGACAAAGAAGACCGTACATCTAAAACCGAAATGACGACAAAGGAGGAGGCAATTTAACACGTGCGCATGTTGACAGTTGAGTTATTAGCTCTAACCCCATTCCCCTGCTCTTTCCCCCATTGTATCTGTGCTCTCTCCTGGGCCAAGAAAGATACATGGCAGCCACAAGTCTTAGCAAGGGGAAATTTTGCATAGAAGATGTTGCAGATGTTGTCTTTTCCTGGTTTGTAAGTTAATAAAATGTACACTAAACGGTCATTAATCACCACATCAGACTATCAGAGGCAATGAATGACCTCCAGTTGCAGTGTCAGCCAACAATTGTACAATGCACGTTGCCTCGAATATTTACTCCTACCTTATGAGAGAAGACTGAAAATCTCGTATCTGGTGCTAACGTGTATAAGAAGGAGTGCCCTATAAACGCTGTCAGACTGATCCAAAACCATTTGTGCTTTTCATGTCTTTCAGGACATGATGGGAGATTTGTTGAGCAAACAAAGATGGTTCTGGAGAGCGCACAGAACTGAATGGCGAACAGCATCAGCAAATCCGAGAGGGAATTAGATAGGTATTTGGCAAAGAATTCAATTGAGGGGCAATGAGCGATCGAGAAGTGTAGGAATATTTTTTTTTTAATAAAGAAATTTCGACCCTTGGACCAGCCAGATGGGCTGCAATAGATTTTTCCGTCCTGCACATTCCCAGGTTTTAGTATTTAAACAAAAAACACATTCTTCCTTCCCCACTCCCACCCCCATCACCACTCTCTCTCCTCCCCCCACCCCCCAATATGCACAGAAGAATGATTCCTCCCACAACAGTTGACGATAATGTTACATTTAGTTTTGTCGCGTTTCGCCAATAAAATATTACAGTCAGTTCACTTCACAGCATATGCTGTGAAGCGCTTTGGGACGTCTCGAAGACGTGATAAGTACAAGTGTCAAGTACAAGTATTACTATTATTATTATTTGTAGAGCAGGTTACTAAAACAAAACCCTGGGCTCTTCCAATTTGCTTTTCCTCCCTCCATGTAGCTGGCTGTCAGCCTGGCTCAATTGGTGGTACACTTGCCTCAGACTGATTCGTGAGGGCTTTGAAACTCACAGTCTAGGCTGACACTGCAGCGCACTGGCATAAATTTTAGCACAACAGCAACCGATTTAAGGGTTGGGTTAACCGTGTGCAAGCATATGTGTGCGGAGGGAATTGCAGGTGCCCTTTGCGTGATTAGCGACCAGCGAAAAAAGACTGCAGGCAACTCTGGCAAGGCTGGGCTTTATTGGCCCAAAAAACCTTATGTCCCTGTTGCCAAACCGGTTGGAAACATTCATCAAAGGGTGAGCGACACTCTGCTCCAGAATCTCGCCAATAGTCTTTCACAAGGAAACATAACGCAAGCCAACGATCTCAAAACGTATTGATCCAGTCAGGGCGGGGAGACGCAGAGGAAGCTCCATTAAGTACAATAAACCGATGGGATGATAAACTGAATATCACGTACACCCGCAGCCCCCCATCCCGCCCCCTCACCATGTCAAGCACAAGACAACTCGCGAGTCCCATGCTCGGATCCACACACCTGGCATCGAACCACGCAAGATCAAACCACAGTTTCTTTCATCACAGCTAATTTACAGGGTAAGATCTGAGCAATTGGGCAAGTTTCCTTCCTCCCCACACCTCTGTTTACCCAGCAGTAATAGGAACCCGCCTGTCAGCCGATTGGGGGATCGCTTTTCCAGGGGTAATAATTCCTTCAAAAAAAATATTAATAATAATTTGGTCACTCAATCCACGACTGTTTGTGGGACACTGCTGAGAGCAGTCGGCTGCCACGTTTTGCCCTCAAAATACACAGTCACTACACTTTACACTCCTACCCACATTCAGTGAAGCGCTTTGCGACGTCTCGAAGATGTGATAAGGCGCTATATCAAAAGCAAGTATTATCATTATCATTATTATTGCTTCACACAGGAATCGAGGGGGTCTTCAAGTCACAAACCATCATCAACTCTGACATGAAATTATATCATTCATACAATAACACTGTCCGCACAACCTGTGTGTTGCCACTGGGTGTGAGAGCACGTCTCACTGGACAAACAGAGGCCATGCTGTAGTGCACCGCAGCTGCAGTGAGGGTTGGACTTTAACAGAGACCCAGCTACAACAACTTGCACTTAATTAAACAGTGCCTTTCAAGTAGAAACATGTCTCAAAACGCTTTAGGGAGAACGATTAGGGGGCCCGAGCAAGCCGGCGGAAGATGTGGGAGTTGAGGAGGAAGGTGACTAGTCGAAAGTGGAGTCAAGGAGATCGTTTAGTTTTTCTTTCGAGAAAGGGCTTTGAGAAAGAGCATCGGACTGCAACACAGAGAACAACCTTGTCCACAATTTTCATCCACAAATATACAGCCAATTCACTTTACAGTCTATTTTGTGAAGCGCTTTGAGACGTCGCGAAGACGTGAAAAGCGCTATATCAAATGCAAGGATTATTATTATTATTATTATTATAGTGTCAAACCACACTGCTGTTTAAGCGCTCTGAGACACTAATCATTGTGAGGGCGCTATAGAAATGCAAGCTGTTGCAGTATAAAGTGTTACGATGTGCACAGTACTGTATGTATTACCTTCACAGCCAAAAAGTTCAATCCACTCTCACTGGCCAAGGCCTTCGCGATCATGGTCTTGGAGCATCCGGGAGGCCCGTACAGGAGAATTCCTTTGGGAGGTTGGATCCCCATCCTGACAAAGCATTCCGGGTGCTTGAGTGGCCACTCCACAGCCTGTCTGAGTTTGACCTTCACGTCTTCCATCCCTCCTATGTCAGACAAGGACACCTGCAGCACGAAAGGGGATCAGTCAGTCAGTCAGTGGCTCTATCTCCACACTTCTCCTTTGCGGTTTAACTGCTGGATTAAACATGATGCTAACTGAATAAAATTCACGTAACCCGGCCTGTCTGCCCCACCGTGGGCAGGCAGGCTAGATTCTAACCCTCTGGAACTCCATCCCAAGTCCCTCCGACACACTCTGTCCCCATTCAGGGTCCATCTCAAGATGTTCTTCTTTGATCGCGTTTTCATTAGAAGCAGCGAGCAAAGGGTTCAGAGTTCTGAGCCAATATATAACTCAAGTCCCTGCCAATCATCAAGTCTCTAAAATACAGGATCATCCTGCGTACAACTGAGTTTTCTTCATTTTTTCTGGCTTATATACCCCTCCTCGTCCAAACTCACTCCAGAAATTCAAATTAATTGGCTGTTCATTAATTTTAGCTTTGTGTGATGTTACTGGGGCAAATCAGCTGTTGCATTTGTCTCCAACAACATTGACTTGTTTCTAAATCATCTCACTCCGCGGAGGGCATTGGGGGTGCTGTGCATCTGTAAGGTTGTGATCGTTGCATGCCTATCTTCTCACAGCAGAAATGCAAAACTATAAGGACTTCCTTTCGCAGTTTGAAGAACGCATTTAGCATTCTCAGCACAGACCGACCGGGAGAGAGCTGCAGGTATTTTCCTCAACGTGACTACAGTCGGCCATTCATTCCTGTGTCAACGAGGAACAAGTCCGCTTTCTCCACCCAAACCGAGTGGCGTCGCAAATTGGCTGAAAACCATAGATTTTAAATAATTCATCCATCTATGTCTGCAGACTATGGAGGAGCTGGCACGATCTTGGAGCTAAATGTCAGCCTGGCTCAGTTGGTGGCATCTTGAGTCAGTGGTTGTGGATTCAAGTCCCAAGTCAGGACTTTGACCTCACAGTTTAGACTGATACCTCGACGCAGTGCTGGGGATGTGCTGCATGTCGGAGATGCCGTCCTTCAGAGGAGACCTTAAACCGAGCCCCAACAACAACACTGACAACAACGTTCAGGTGGACATTAAAGATGCAGTGGCACTATTCTGAAAGAAAAAAAAGCAGTTTCTTCCAATGTCCTGGCTAACAATCCTCCCAATAAAATGTTTTGGTCGTTCACTTTATGGCTGTTGGTGGGATATTGCTGTGTGTAAATCGACAGTAACCTTCACTTCACAGTAAAGTTCTTATGAAGCTGTTTGAGATGTGTTGACAACGTAATAAAGCCACAGATCAGAATGCAAAGCTTATTAAATGTCCACCTCATGCTGACAATATCATCGATTCTAGCCATCCGAAACATGAATTGCTAAAATCTTACTCACTTTCCTCCACTCTCCGCCCCCGCCCACCCCTCCAACCCACCTCCAAAAAAAAATAACCCACTCCCCTCCCTCCTCAGCCAGAAAACTGCAATAGTTGGGGCCATAAACAATATAACAGAAAGCGTCACTCTGCCAAAAGCAGCAATTAAGTGAAACAGGACTGGACGGGACGGGAGGGGAGGCTTTAATGATGGGGAGCGTTTTAAAGATCAAGAGGGAGCTGTTAAGACAAATGCAATATGGTGGATATTTTTAATACTTCTCTAAATAATGTTTTTACCTAAAATACACAAGTTTGGATTTTCCAGCAACGTGAGGAAACCACACGATTTCTCCCAGTAACGGAGAAAAAAAAGGGATCGGTAGTGAAACGGTCACACAAAACCTAGAGTATGTTCGTATTTGTAAGTCAACAAGACCTGATGGAGTGAAGCCAAAAATACTTGAGGAAATCGGGTTAGGGTGAGGTCTAGTTGACATTTTATGCAATGAGCTGCAAGAGCAGTACCCCAGGATAGGAAAATAGCTAATGTTCCAATTTTCAAATAGGTCAGCAGCATAACCTTGGAAATTATAGGCCTGTTAACTTGACATTAATAGTAGGAAAAACATTCGAGCCTATTATAAAGGAAGCAATTCAAGCACATTTAACAAGAGTAGAGGCAAGCGTTCTAAGGGTTTACGAAGGCCAGGTCGTGCCTAACAAATGCAATGGATCTCTTTGTGAGCTGATCAGAATTGGCAGATGGTGGAAATGAGGTGGGCAACACACATCTAGACTCTCGGCAGGGATCTGATAAGCTGCTTGACAAAAAGACTTGAGGCTCAAGCAAAATCTCTTGGGACAAAGGAGGATGTTGTAAATTGGATAACATATGGCCTCAATAATAGGAAGCAAGGGAGAGGGATCAATGATAGTGCTTCTAATTAGGCAGCAACAACCAGCCAAGACTTTGAGATCTCCGATCTTGTTGGAGAAATTGGAAGTGGAATGTCTAAAGCTGTCCAGCTGAAAGGTTTAAGTTGTGTCGGAAAAGCGGGATGCTTTGGAGAGAAGGGATAACGTTCAAAAAGATGTACGAAGAGTTGTTAACTGGCAGGTGAATCTCGAATAGTACAGGACTGAACACCGAGACGAGTAAAGCAATACAAATCAGTACGAAACACAGGAAGCCGATCATTAAATAAGGCAAGTCAGAAAAAAAGATTCCAGGTGGAACAATTGACCAAATATTGGATGTGAGGCACCAGTGTGGAACAGCAGTTAAAGAGGCCAATAAAACAAGTCCAAGGAAGCGATATTGACATTCTGCAAAGCATTAGTGAGACAATTAAATATTGGGTCCGGTTATACAAAGATGCAAAAGGCAGCAGAAAGGATTCAGAGAAAGGCAAATAGATAACTCAAGACCGAACATCGGTGCGCTACCAAGAGCGGTTAATAAATCCAGCTACATTTTCACCGCATGCCCAGAATCTCTTCCTAATCCTTCAAGTCGCCGTCACTCCGACAGCACAAGAAGCAAATCGATTGTTGGGTTGAACGTGCGAATAAGTTAACAGTGCCTCAAGCAAATAAGCGGTCAGTCCCCGCATCGAGTATAATGTAACTCTGAGCCAAGGAAAGTCAAGGTTCGTCGATCTCCGCAGTGCTCACCATAATGAAACTCCTTGACCTTACTCGGCCAATGCTGGTTCTCCGTACAAAAATGCAAGTTTCTGAAAGACACGGTTTAGTGCCCTCGTGTTCAGTGCTACAGCAACCGCTGAAGGTTCAAGTACAGATCAGAGCCGCAGTGAACAGGGCAGAGCTGAGCGGTAGCGTTCAGTGAGGAGAAACGGGGGGAAGAGGAGAGATGTCAGGGGACAACTGGTATCTGTAGTAGAGCAATCAATCACACAGAGCAACAATCTGGGAGTAGTCCATTTCTCCTCAGCCTCAGCTCAGCTACAACAAGCGACAGGCCGGTCGCACGAGAGAATGTGACCAAAACTCCCCTCCTCCACTAAGCATCGCTTTATGGAGCCAAAATTTAAAATGGGGAATTGCAGTAGTCGGGACGAGGTGGGAGTGGGTCAGGGGGGGTTGGGTGGTGCTGAAAAATGTCTCCCCCACTACGTACAGATCTTCAAACAGAAACTGCATTATTCAGCATTATCGTGTTACGCTTGCATCGCCGGACAGTGGAAATATAATTGTTTAATCCTTAAACTGGTCCAAAATAATAAAGAATCCTTGCATTTGATATAGCGCCTTATCGCATTTTGAGACGACTCAAAGCGCTTCAAACAATATATTGTAAAGTGGATTGACTGTACATTTTGTGGGGGAAACACGGCAGCCAATTGCGCACAGCGGCGTCCCACAACCAGTCGTGGATTGAACTACACTGAGACTGCAAATGACTGCAGAATGCAAAACCACAACCATCTCTTCCCATCACATACTCCATCCTAGCTGACCCCTCTTCCAGAAGGCATACACTTAAGATGCGTGGCATTTGAAAAATAGAAGATTTGTCTGGGGTAATTGGTGTTAATAGTGCACATTTTAATGGGGTTCTTCTACGTGGCAGTTAAATAGATTCATTGTGAATTCAGAGTGGTTTCAAGTGTGGCGCTGTGTCAAATGTGCCTCTATTAAGTAACATGACCCAGTAGGTCAGGCTGTGAGCAGGACTGACATACCAAAAGGGTATGCTTACGCCTGTATCAGCCATCAAGAGTACGAACTATTGAGTGACCTTACCTTGACATGCATTGAGAAATAACTTTTATGGTCCCTTATTGCATTGAAATATCTTAGGGTATTTCTCAAGGAATTACTGTCAGGTGCAGTGACTACTTTTATATTAAAAAAAATCATCTTTGCATTTGACCTAGCGACTTTCGCATTGAGAGAACGTCTCAAAGCTCTTCACAGGATATAGTTGAAGGCAAGTGCGGCAGCCAAGTGTACCATTAAGATCTCACAAAAGAGATACTGAGCAAAGCTCCCACCCGCTCCCCACTCCCCCACTCAACATGTGGGAAGAAACATCAAACAAGGTCTAGGTTTACTCTATTTACGTAGCATTTCAGACCATTCAGAATAAGTCCTTAAAAAAGACTACCAAAAACTGGCTTGAAAGTTAAAGCTGTCTTTCAGAATTTGCCCAACTCTGAACCCTGTGAAATGCTATGTAAACAGATCAAATCCACTACCGTTAAATCAACGTAAACAATATGAAATAGCAAAATGGGTTCTGTTATAATTACGATCACAGTTCATAATCGGGGAGCGATGCAAAGCCACACATTAGCGGAGTTATGGATATTGACACATCTTATTTTCCACTGTAATGACTTGGTTGGTTGCAAAATGAAAGTATCAGTTGTCTTCCTTGAGATAAGAAACCAAAAACTCGCGCTCTGCCGTCTCAGGACACATCCAGGAATTGGTTCTTTGTTGCAACGATAACTTACTTTTGGCACGTCAACAGTCACCTCCCTCATGGCACTCGGCTTGACATCAGCCATCGCTTGCAGGAAGTCATTGAAAGCTATCTTCACTGACCCAGCCACCTCACCGTCTGAGGGGCTGACACGCTCACTCAGTGCCCGACGTAAAGCACACAGACCTGTCAGAAACAAAAGCATCCAAGTGTCACCATTAGGCCTGGAGGTTGCTGAGTGACAGACACAAGCTTTCCTTACAAATAAATCCTGAGTTTATTCCTATCCATTCGCTTCAACCTTTGTAAAAGATTTCTTCCCCCTGCCCCCCGCCTCCAGCTCTCTCTACCCACCTCTCTCTCCTTTCTCCTCTCCACAAGGCCCACTGAGCCATCCACTGCGATCAAGTTCCTCAGACGCCCTCCTGTATCCCTGCCTGAGCAGCTATTATTCAGGTGAGAGTCTGCACGACGAATACTGACGGGCTAATCCACATGGTTTGGGCGAGTGGCCATCGTGGCTGAGTTTGATCCAGTCCTGTCCATCTGGCCCTTCGGGAACCCTGGCTGATGTCCCCCTCCCTAACCCAGAGGCCTGAAGTCAACTGTAGCTTCAACTGCTGCCCCGCCCACAAAACACACAGTCATTCACTTCACAGTGGATTCTCAGTGACTTCTGTTTTTGTTTCGAAATAAATAGAAATAGATAGCTCCAGTTCCAAAAGGGTGGTGGGGTGGCTAGCACCAGTACAGGTAGGTTTGGCCAAATTAACCCCTGGTGAATGATTTTATGGATTCCCAATTGTCGCTTTCCAACATAGCCAAATTAAGCAATACGGCACATTGCACATCTTAAGACCAGCTGATATGCGTGGTACATAAGTGTATGTGTGTGTGTGTGTGTGGTGGGGGGTAAGCAAAACACGTTGACTGATTCTGTATCTCAGCCCTGAAACCAGAGACCCTCTGGTCTGTATGGCTCAGTACTGCACTGCATTGCACTGGATGGTGCTTTTCTTTCTTAACCCAGTCGGTCATAAGGGCAACTTGGTGTTTTCAAGAAGGGTGGAGGGAAGCATTTTGCTTTTCACAGCTATTCACTGGCACACAAAGGTCACGCCCCAACTTAGACCCATCTCGCACCGGATTTTAAGCACCGGTGTCAAATCCGTGTCAAAGTTCATCATCGCTTGTGTGTCTTTAACAGAAACTAAAAACATTGAAACTGAAAAAGGATCTGGGTTCACAGCTGTACGTGTGTGTGTGGGTGTGGGTGTGGGTGTGGGGGGGCGGTCTATGTGTGTGTGTGGAGGGGGGGGGTGCATATGTGTATGTGGGGGTGATCATCCCACACAACATGCAGTACTGATAATGACCCGGTGATGTCAACATTTTCTTTCCCCTTTTCCGTTCGACGGAAAAATAAGTAATGGTTAAAGAAGAGAGAGACAGTGCTCCTCTGCCGTTTCCCTCTCCACTACATTTCCAACAGCAGCACATTCCAACAATCTATCGCTGCGATTTCCACGTGTAGGTGGGAGGCGTGGAATCCTCAGTTTGGGTTTGGAGACTTTTAAGCACGGTGATGGGTTTCCGCACGTGTCAGACATCCGGCTGACCACCCCCCCCCCAAAAAAAAACCATTAATGATGAAAAAGGAAGGGAACCTGCAACTTTCACCTCCACAACCAAAGTGGAAGAAAATTAATTTCCACGACACTGGCCGGCTGATTGGGCAAGGCTATCAATATCTAAACCGAAAGCATTTTTCAGCAAAGATTCACAAGAGAGTTTCGAATAAGCAAAGCCTTTTGGCCATTCAACCTCATTCCTCAAGTGTCCTGGCCGCAACCATCCTTTCCTAGTAGCTTTTTCCAATCATTAATTACTCTCCGTGGAAAGAAACCATGATTGTACGATTCCTCCTCGCAGTCTGCCCTGAAATTGCCCTTCGCAATTCCTTTACTCCTGGGAAATGCAGTCAGGTGAAAAGCACACGTTCCAATCATAAATAACAATCCTTACATTTCGATGTCTCGCCGTATCACATCGTTGAGATGTCTCAAAATATTTCACAGGAATTTACTGTACTGTAAGTGTAGTGACTATTTCGTAGACGAACAGGACAGCCAACTTGCGCAGAGCAATGCACCACAAACAGCCGTGGAGCGAATGACCAATTTTATCGGAGGGTGGGTTGCGGGGGAAGCTACGAAAGCAATTTTTCTTTCTTTGGTACAAAAAAAATATCTCTTTCTTTGGAAGCGTCTCAGATATGACCATCGGAGTGCAACTGCGCTATAAAAGGAGCTGTGACAGTGAGCTGTTCAGAAAGCTGAGGGTTGCTGAGGGTTACAACATGTTAGCCTCACCTCCACCTCAAGTCTCCCCCTGACCAGAAAAGCAATCACAAGCAACTCGAATGTAAAACTGGAAAGGAGGGCAGGTGCCGTCTGGGTGGGGGAGATAATATTCATAATAATACTTGCATTTGACATCGCGCCTGATCACTTTGTTGAGACATCTCAAAGCGCTTCACAAAATACGCTGTAAAGTGGATTGATTGTGTGTTTTGTGGGGGCGAAATGCAGCAGCCAGTTGCGCACAGCAGTGTCTCACAAACAGTCGTTTTAAAATAAAATGTTAGGATGAGGGGGAGAAGGCAGGTGAGGGAAAACAGGCAGGGGAATGGGGTGCCAGTGGGGTAGGGGGTCGGGGTGTGGGCAAGGTCAATTTTACTTTAGTAAAGCCGTTCTCTGAGAGGAAGTAAACGAAAAGCAACGAAAAGGATTTCAATGTGCATTGAAGCACATTTGGTGTTCAAATTAACCACTTGCTATTTTAATGATTTTTGTTTCCAACAGAAAAAAAAAGTGTGAATTTTTATTGCTGTGACCGCAGTGTAACATCTGTTTCCACCGCTGGTAAATCTATGGGTGTACACAGGAAACAGAATAAATCTCTAGGGGAAACATGAAGGTCAAAAGTTTAGTCTTGCGAGAGAGAGCAAGAGCGAGAGAGAGAGAGATGTAACCTCTTGGTACCAAAAAGTCTGAAATGCTGATTCACCGACTCTGGAGACTGTGCATTGTGAGGAACCACACACCTCACCTCATCAAGTTCTCTCTCTCTCTCCCCCCAGATTCACGCAGTCTTTCTTCAAGTGCACGGAGGCTATTTGACCAGGTTTTCTTTCGAGTCGGGTTGATTTTGAATTGGACGCTGCTGTGCGCAATTGGCTGCCGTGATTCACCCACAAAATATACAGTCGATTCACTTTACAGTGTATCCTGGGAAGCGCTTTGAGACGTCTCGAAGACCTGATAAGGCGCTGTACAAATGCAAGGATTATTATATTATTATTATTACCTCCATTGATGGAAGGAGAATCAAGGTTATGCCTGGACCCTTTTTCACCCATTATCCACATACGTCTGTCCTAAACCTGCCCTTCGCAGCCCTGAACCTATATAACTCTATATATACTGTCGCATTGGCCTGAGGAAAGAGAAAGACTCGCACTGTATGGGGTTGGGAGGTGTGGGGGAGAGAGATAGAGCGAGAGAAAAAGTGAGAGAGAGGGCTGGCACTGTGTAGGTGGGAAAGGGAGAGAGAGGGGTGCGGATGGGGAGGGGAGCTAGTGCTGTATAGAGGAGAAAAAAAAAGAGATGCCCTAGCACTTTACAGGATGATAGCGAAAGCCTGGCACTGTAAGGAGAGAGAGAGAGCCAAGTGCTAACACAGAGTTGGACTTTAGTGACAGGATTAACTTGTGGTGGTGGGAGATTTTCCGCTAGTATTGCAGATTGTGTGACCACCTGACATTGACATATTTTGATATCCACAGGAGGGTGGATCCCAATCTCACGCACACACACACGCGCGCACACATGCACACGCATCTTGTGTCCCAAACAAAATTCCACCTACTGGCTCTTGTTCGCCTCCTAAACACAGACACGATACTTTACAGTAAATCACGTGAAAGCTTCGAGCAGTACTCCTCGACATGAAAGGTGCTGCAACGCATGCAAGGAGATACTATTATCGATTTTATTAACAGACAGATTGCCTCTTCGAATCTGTCAGGTTTTCGGTGTCCAGCGAGAACGTAGGAGCGTATGAGAGGCTTTCAACATGTCATGCCACAGGCAAGCAGGTTGGCTCAGTGATGTTCTTACAGAACATCAGAACCTGTGCCCTCAACCGCGTAACAAAGAACCTAAATACTAAGGGAACTGAGTAGTGACAATGATTATTATTGTTGGTTTTACTGATGAGACATATTCTCTCTGTCCAGATAGATCTAGGAGTGTACGGGGCGGGTGATCGATCACTCTGACTTTCTGTCTCCCACAGCTCGGCACATAACTCGTCTTAAAGAACAGAACTCGCAGCCCCCTCCCCCCTGACCCCCCCAGGTAATACCCAGATTACACTCCAGCTGTAGCACCGCAGTGCCGCTCTCAGGGGCTCTCTCTTTCTCTCTCTCTCTCGCGCTCTCTCTCTTTGCAGTTTGTTTCTGTATTTCTGAAATGCAATCCATGTAAAACCCGTCAGCGCATCTGAAAAGCTGAGCTCTGTCTGATCCTCATCGGGAAACAAAAAAGGTCACAATCTGCACAAACAAACCCCCTCCCACCCCCACCCCTCGCTCATTAGGGTTGATCGATCGTTTTCCGCGATTACTCAGTCACCGGTTCAGTGCGGTGTGTGGGGGGGGAGTGGGGAGGGAGGGAGGGAGGGAGGAGGGGAGGAGGGGAGGGGGTTGGGGGAGGAGAGCGCACAATTTTTCAGAAAATAACACAGAAATGAAAAAACAACCGCAGAGTGGAAATTGAAGAAAGTGTCTTCCTGTTTCCTCCTTCCATTATCTGGCCCGGCTCAGCTACAGCCACACGGTCCCCAGTCAATACTCCGGCCAGAAGCAACGTTTGACCCTTTGAGTGCCAGATAACCGTGCGCCACTCGGTCGCGCTCGGATGACTGCCCTGCCCTTCCCTGCCCTGCCTCACAGACAAGACATCTACAGAAGCGATTCCGTGAAGTTCAACGGTACGCGAGGTGGTGGAGAAGCAATCACAATAGATCTAACCAACGCTTTACCAGATGCTTTGCCCTCCCCACCCCCAAACCCCTGGACACAAAGGGGTTAAAGCACACTGGGGTTGAGGAAACTATTTACC